TCATATGTTCAACAATTCGTATTTTTTTCCGCTAGTTTTTTTATAAAAATATGGTTAATACTACAACAAAAATATAAAAATTACAATTTTTATACTCTTTGCAAAACTCATTAAAATTCAATAAATCTTCTTGTGAATTTTCAACTTCTTTACCAGATTTTTAAAGTTTTTTTGAGTCCTAGCTACTTCAAACTAAATTAATGGGCTAGAAAACTGCATTCTAAAAAAATAAAAAAAAAGCTACAACAATATATAATGGTTATCAAGGCATAGCAATGGAGTGCCATTTGAGAGATCACAGACAAAAGAGTTTTTATCTTGTGCCAGTCTATATTTGTAACACTAAAACACATTTGGTGCCAATTTTTAATAAGGATGGTACACAATAAAAGCGCCTTCTGGCCAACACTGAACTGAAATGTTGCCCTTGAGAAAAGCTTCTTCAGGCAAAAGGGGGGTTTCTGGTCACCGCCTAAACATTTTTCCACGGGAAAAGCATTTTAAGTCTATCTTATAACGGCGATGGGCAGCGCCTTACCTGCGTGGAGACCTGTTTGATGCTTTCCATAATTTTTTATAGGAAGAAAGCTCTGTCCGCCCATTACTGTTTTAGATGGGCGCGGTCAGAGTAAAAGCTATCTCCGGTTCCACTGAAAACAAGTTAATCACGACCAAAACATATTGCGGAAGAAGCCTTCTAAAGCTTTCACGCACTGAACAAAAGCTCTACCTGATCGTCACTGATATGAAAGGGGACGACCATAGAGAGCTTTCACTATGAGAGACCATTCAACATCCATACAAAGCTTCTTCTCTTATGGTAGATGTTTTGGTCGTGACGGATATAAAATTTTGTATAGTAAGCTTAAAAAAAGCGCTGCACGTATGCTTGTGAAGTAGCTAACTCTGTTCTAGATTTGTAAAAAAGTATAATCATTTTGCTAATTAGCTGTTGAGAAGCTTCTTTTTAGCTATATTGTCAATCAACACATCTAAGGAGTTTAAATAAAAGTATTTGCTGGGTATTAACGCTGGTGCTCTATTTATGCAGGGTTTTCATATACATATAGTAGTTACATATGTATGTTTAAAGGCAGCTTGTGCCACAAAATATGATGTGTTTGTCAAGTGTCCTATCTGCGAGTGTCGTAAAATATGGGAAATATCCAAAACATGTTTGACGACAAAAGTGAAAGGTCGACATGCATACATATGTATTTTCCACATCCATTTTGCCCAACACTGACATTATTTAAGTACTTCGGAATTATATATGGACGTACATTAGGGTGGTCCAAAAACAGTAAAGTCGGAAATGTAATGCTTTCACCCCGTAGAATTGTTCTAAATATACCGAAAAAATATACCCTTATTTTTTATTTTGACATAAAAAAATATTTAGAAGTCGCTCAAAGCACCCAAAGTTTTCCATGTATTTTATATGGGGGAAAAACAACTTTTCGTAGAAATGGTATAGAATAGTTAAAAATCAGTATTTTTCTCTGTTTATCTGGAGGTGATTCCCAATAATAACACCCAATTGTTTATTTAACCATTTTTCGCATCGCAACTATAATTTATAGGTCCGCCAAAAACGCACAAAATGCAATGGGGCGACCAATAAAAAATCGTTAGTATTAAAAACTGATTAAATAAAAAATTGGGTATTATTATTGAAAGTATCCTGAAGAGAACTAGAGTTTTCCGATCGGAAAATATTGATTTTCAAGAATTCTATACCAGTCCTACGAAAAATTTTATTTTTCCCATATAAAAATACGTGGAAAACTTTGAGCGCTTTGAGCGACCTCTAAATATTTTTTGATTTCAAAATAAAAAATAGGGGGGAGAGCAAAAAATTCGGAGTTTACTTTTCACATGCATTTTTGGACCACCCTAATGCACATATGTAGCTGAGATGCGATTGTTTTGTTTGTGCCCTCACTTTGATTGCGGCAAATCCGCGTGCCACGTCTAATTCGATCAGCGTTGTCCTTGTGCTCGCGATTTATCCCTTTTTCGACAACAAACATATGCACTTCCTTAGCCAATTTAGCTTCCTTCACTCATGACTTCTTATTTAGCATCCTTTTCCATTTTTTAACGCTATTTCGGAAATATTTATGACGTATTTCATATGCAAAACGCATACACTTAAATACATACAAACATACACATATATAAATTTACATTTGGCTTGCAAGAAGCTTATGTAACTCTTACGATTCCTTTCCTCATGCTCTTCTTCTTTTTATTCTTATTCTTCTTCCTCTTTCACATTAAATATTCATACGTTTCAGCAGTTTTTCTTCATGCCACCAGCGTAGCGATTGTCCAGCAGCGTGGTTGTCGCAAGCCAAAAATTCTTGTGGTGCTCCCCTTGCGCTCCAATGAAGGTTTATAAGGTAGTCTGGTGTGTGTGTGGTATTTGCCACAACAAATTGCCATGCATACTTGAATGTTAACCCTTTGAATAAGTCTTTGATTTGTGCACACTGGGCTTGAGAATTCTTGAGTCTTCACAACGAACCTTTTCCTATCCTTTAGCTGACTTTTAGATACCCTTTCTTTACATCCTCGCCTTTGCAGCTGTGTCTACATATCTTGCATTTCTATTTGGTACTTGTGGGACAGTTCCATGTTTTCATATGTATGCTTACCCTGTTTTTGTATGTGTATGTATGTATGCTAGTATGCACACATACGCGATGCTTAATTAACTTAAGTTTGATTTATAAAACCACTCACATTCGCCATGGGTGCGCTATAAAAGTTTAGTGCCTTATTTTGTTTTTGGTGTCGGGTGCTCATTTTTTTCTTGCGCGTAATTGAAAGTGGTGAATGGTGGATATTTAAATATTTATCAAATATTTTTGAATTAGCCATGTAAGTAACGTGGGGTCAAAAATGAAGATATAAGCGTGTATGCAGGATTAACTGACCTTGGCTAATGTTTGTGTACAGTTACTATCATCACTAAATGTTTTGACTTGCACACTGTTTCACTTGAATAGCTACATTTCTTCAAGAGCTGGGCATATATCTGGACTTGTAAGCATAGGAGAAGTTTCATTCTATTCTCCTTTCGAAGAGTGATAAATTTTTGAGAAGATTGGTTGAAGAATGCAAACAAAATTCAAAAGATGTACATAGTTGTATCCTTTCTAACGGAAGTGTAGCCAAGGAGTCTATCCTGTCAAAGATCTTCTACCGTTTTTCAGTACTTGCAGAGTTCCGAGTATGCCAGTGCCTGGTAGCGGAGGTTTCTGCTGCTTGCTCAAAAATATAGAGCGGCGTGCATTCCAGAAGCGACCCTGGGGCCGCAGTTAATAGAATTTTATGCAGACGGAAGGTCTCAGTGAAAGTCTGCATTGACCATGATTATCTCCTGAAGCGTTCTTCAACCAAATTCAGAAATAGGGCGTCCGTGAAAAGTTTTCTGAGAAAGGGCATTCTTCCACTCAGTCGTCGATATATAAGTATTATATAGGGTGATTCATCTAAACCTTGTTTAATTTTAAATAAAACACTTATATCAGAACTGGGTGACGGAATCTTTATTATTACCCAAAAGAAGAATCTCTGATATTTACTTTTTAAAAATAATTTGATTCAAATCTGGCCGCGACTATGCTGTAGGTGGTCCATTCGGGAGGTCCAATTTTCAGTTACTGTTTCCAGCAATGTGCGAATTACGCGAGTAATGTTGTTAATAAGTTTTGAATCATAGCTGGCTCATCGACGAAGGCTTCTGACTTCTCATAACCCCAAAGAAAAAAATACAGAGGTGTGATATCACTCGATGATTTGCTGAAACCAAATGTTGCCGACATCACGCGCTTCCATTTAAGGCAATAAAAAAGCTATTGTCATGTTCTATCTGCGGCCAACATTTGAATGAAATTATTAAAAAAAAGTAAACGTGACAGATTCTTCTTTCGGATGACAATAAATATACAGACATCCAGTTCTGTTTTAAGTGTTTTGTTTTAAATTAAAAAAAAAAACGTATACATACTACCACAAAAATCTAGAATTCAAGATCTAGATTATCTGCACTTCAAACAATGATAAAAACATAGTAAGGTAAAACCGTTCTCTCAATTCGTCGGCAATGATTTTTTTGTTTGAAGTTTGCCAATATTTTAAAACCATATGAAATTGAGAGTAAAAAGAATGAATTGTTCAAAGTTGTTGTTGTTTGAGATTAAAAATGAGAATGTGTGTGTGAGTTTGTTTGTAAAATCTTTAAATTAAATTTATTTCAAACGTCAACAATATGAAAAATTGAAAATGAATGAACCGCTGAGAGGAATTTTTCAAATTCTTGACGTTTGCAAGCAATTTAATTTTAAAATTTTACACACAAACTCACACACACATTCTCATTTTTAATTTCAAACAACAACAACTTTGAACAATTCATTCTTACTATGTTTTATCATGGTTCTACCTTCCTATTTTTTCATCATGCTTCAAACATATACATACATAAATATTTTTGGTCAGAACAAAATGTGTGTTTAAAGGGCAGATAAATTTTAAAACCTACTTGAGAAAAGGACCTTCAGATGCTCCTATCTTGATGCCTCTATAATTGGACATCTTGGCCATGTGCTTGTCAAAGTTAAAATAATCCACAAATTAAGTGAGACGGTGTGTATGTCTGTATGTATGCACTGTATCATATATATACTCGTATTTTTCGTAAGCTGTATACGGTATGCACTTATTAATGTATCTACATATATATATACCTACTTAGGTTATTGTTACTTGTTTTTGTGTTCCTATCCACCTTTGTAGATAGCTGGTACACATTTGCTGAGTAAAGATAAGGTGACTTTATCGTCTTTCCACTGTGGCGTCATAAGCTCTGATAAGACCGATGCCATACATTTCCACTACAAAGTTAATATTTATTTATTTTATTTTTTGATGCTCGTATGCACATTTATTAAATTAAATATGTATGAAAATAAATTGTTTTCTATTTCCAGGAAATCGCTGCAATTCTTATTAGTTTTGATAAGCATAATGAGTGGCAGTCCAAGGAAGTCAAAACCAGGTGAGTCACATTGAAGTTACTGCGTCGTTAAATACAAATTTATGTTTGTTTTTATTTAAATGCATCATTATATGTATGTATGTATATATGTATATGTATGTAGTTGCTATCATATATAAGAAAGAAATTTAATAAATGCGCTCTACCCTGGTAAGCACCCTGGTAAACAGTCGGCCCTAACAAACTTTTTTCCTGATCTCTTAACATGATAAGGCTTCCGTGTCAAACTCTCTACTCCCTTTTTGTATGGAAGCTTCAGGCCTTATAAATCGTTTTTTTTTTCTTAACACCAGCACGTTTGATTCCGAATAGCAACGGAAAGTCTTCTAAAGGTATGGCAGGGTTGATTAATAAGAGCTCCTCATTTTGCCGACTTGTTTTTATTAGACAGAAGTTACACTAGTTACATATGTTTTTCTGTAAGAACTTACCATTGCAATTCAATTAATCTCTCGTTTTGACTGTTCGAATTGCCAAAGATTTGTAAAACATTTCCGGGTAGTCAAAAGCGACAAGGATAAGTTGATAGTCCACCGTAAAACTTTTTAACATTTCTATAAAATCAATTTTTTTAGGGTATTAAAAATATGAAAATTACTAACCTTTTTTGGTAGCATAAAAAAATTTAGGAAAAGCCACGAAGATACACCCAAAATTCCGAGGCTGGAGCAAAAACATAATTACTAAATCTAACTTCAAAAAGACTTACCTGGTCACACTGCTCGCCAGTAGTTTACCGCTCAGACGCAACTCTGTGCCTGAAAGCATGTTGTAAGCGTATTAAGCTCGAAGTTCATAATAATGGTATAGCAAAGTGCACTTACCGCCCTCTTAATTAAAAAAATAGCCATTTTAATTCTCGAGCAATCTGTGGAAAAGACATTCTACAAGATTTGCCGGCCGCAATAAAAAAAACTCACCATAGAAATGTCTATTTGAATAGTATAATTTCCAAAGTGTTCAACAAGAGCATTGTCTTTCCAATTCTTTCGAGTCTTTATGGTGCAAGTTACACTTGTTAAATTTTCTTAGAAAAAGTTAAGTACCGATGTAGAAAGTAGGAATTTTCAGCCAGAAAAGAACGTTGAATTTCTCCTTTTCTGGCTGAAAACTCTTTTCTACGTCGACGATTTAAGATTACAAACACCAAAGAGGCTTACCTACAAAAACAGTTTGACTGCTGCGCATGGAAGATGACGAAGTGCGACAATATATCATGTCTGCATAGTCGAATCCTTAGTATTAAAAGGTTATCCATGTAGAGCCTTCTCTAGTTAAGTATAGAGATGGAAGGTTTGCTGTGTTACCGGAAGTAGTTAATTTTAACCTTAATAAACAGGATATTATAAGTTGTGATTCAACTTTGCTTTGTCATTGCCGTCTCTATTCTGATCTTAGCCATTTCCTTAGTTATCATACAACACCTCAATAATCTTTAGTGGGCATAGGAATGTGATACCAAGTCACTGCCTTAAAAACTCTTATGAAAACCAGCAATATTTGTACATAAACCATAATCTAGAAACAAAATCATAGTCATTTTATTCCTCTGTTATTGCCAATACCCATTTATTTATATTTCTCTTTGTATCAAGTTTTTCCCTGCAACAAGCCTGTCAGTAAGACCTCGTTAATCTTTTTAAAATCTCTTCATTTATTTCCAGGCCAAAAAGCGGTTCACTGCTGCTGTACTCGCGCAAAAAGGTGCGCTACCGACGCGACGGCTATTGTTGGAAGAAGCGCAAAGATGGCAAAACGACGCGCGAGGATCACATGAAGTTAAAAGTGCAAGGAACAGAGGTAATGTAACAATACACCTATGTATACGTTGTTGTTGATACAATAAAGCAAAGCCTTAAGTAGCCATAAAGCGTTCACACTTTGTTGTCACTAATTTCCGTGTGTCACATGTTCGTTTTTTTTTTGCTTAAATTTTTTTAAGGTTTTTTTTTCCTTAGCCACTACGGCCGGACAACACTTGCTGTGCAATTAGGCAATTAGAGGCAACTCCATGCGCTTGCTTGTTTAGTTTCCTTCCTGCTTCACAGCTCTACTATAAAGCGCTTTGGATAGCTTTTCTTTTTCGTTATTTTTTCCAAATTTTTTTTTCACATACTCTCCAGTTGGCTAGTTGGTTCTTTGGTTGGTCGGCGCGGTGCTGTGCATGTTTGGCCACTTAAGATTGGCGTCGTCGTTAGTCAGACGCTGCCATGAAATTAATTTACAAGATAATGAAAACAAAGCCAACTACACGAAAAGTATTTAAGAAAAAGCGACTGCGCTTTTATTTTTTTTCTTTTTCCTTTGTTTTTTTTTTTTTTGGGAGCTTCTCTTCCTCGCCGTGTGTGGCAGTGATTTGACTTGCTTTCTCTATCTTTTTCCCTTCGCCTATTTATGCTGGTGGCGGCGGCTCATGTGCAGCATACGTTGTGTCTTTGCTCCCAAGGGTTGCTTGGTTGCTTGTTTGGTTGGCCGGTGTATCCATGAATTATGATTTCCCGCCGGAAACATACATGGAGTGACTGTTTGGCATTTTTTTTTTGCATTTCTGACGCCCTTTTTCATACAAACTGCTCTGCTGGTAGATATTTATGTATATTTACTTTTCCCTCATTTTTTAGCTTTTTTCTCCTCAGATTTTTTTCCTGCCAAGTGTGTTTGGAAGACTTTTTGGCAGGGGTGTTCTAACACGGGATAAGCTGCTAATGCAATAAGTTAAGGGTTAAGTGTATTTACAAGTCTGAAGTGTATAAACTTGTCGGCCGGCCCATCAACGACCTCACCACGACCCTGATGCTTGCCTGCCCGGCTGTTAGACTGGTTGCCGGTTAGTGTAGCTGGATTGTTCGTGGCTGCTGAAGGAGTTGCAAGTGGTGGGGTTGTGGGAGAATGCAAGAAATTTTGTATAATTTCACGCCAATTTTTTCAGATTGTGTGTGCCTTTGTTTTATTGCGCTGCTTGCTGACTGTCGTAATTTTTGTTGTTATTTTCGAACTCACTCTATTTTTCGGTGCACAGGCTTATTTTTTCTTGTTTTTATATTAGTTCCATGTGCACTTGCACACTGCACTGCTAGCGATTTTCTTCTTCCCCTTTGCCGCTTTGCACTCCTTCTATCGCTTGCTGGCTCGTCTAACGTCGTCATCGTCGTCTTCGGAGCGGTATCAAGATTTATGATTTGTTTGAAGACGGAAGCGCCAAGACATTGGCTCTGCCCCAACCCTTACAAACTAACGTAGACTCTTCTGTTCTTGCTGCTGTCATTTGGGAAGCGATAAGCAATTGTTTTGCCTCTCAAATGTACGGTAAATAAAAGAGCAAGGAGGGCAACGAGCTTTCGCGTACAATTTTTCGCGTATTTTACGCCAGCTCAGTTGGCGGCATCAGCCGTCAGTCATCAGCGGGCGGCATTCAGCGCCAAAAGAACTGAGAAAAAAAATCGTATTTATCTTCTGGACATGCGAGCGAGCGTACATACGTAGTAGCAAGAAAAGTGCGCGGCAAGTGTGAGTAGTGTTGGAAAATGAAAAAAAAAAAATTTTGTTAGTTCGAAAAAAAGGGTTGAATTTTTGGCAATCGGCTGCACAGCTCTTACTCACTTCCAATGATTTTTTTACCACTCTATCCACTTTTTGCCTATATCCAAAGTCGCTCTAGTCATTTTTTATTTTTGTCACAACACAGCGGGTTATATCCTTAAGTCAAATGTAATTCAATTTCGCCTATACTCCAAGTGTATCAGCCATTTTTAATATTTTAATTAAATGAATTTGTTTTTCGCTGATTTCGTCGTGAAATTTTACTACATTTTTATGTTTCTGTTTGTCTTTGCCCAGATGACTTCATCGAAGCACGATTTTCATACACACAATGAAACCAAAACATTTTTTATTATATTTTTTTTCTTTTACTTCTTTACAGTGCATCTATGGCTGTTATGTACACTCTGCCATTCTGCCAACGTTCCATCGCAGGTGCTATTGGTTGTTACAGGTGAGTGGGTGGCCAACTAAATACATAATATATTTTATATTTGTTCCCTATTTGTGCTATATTCGAATATCCGATTAATATCCGAATATCCAGTGGGTCTATTCTGTATTGCGATTCGACACTCAATGCGATTACATTTTATATTTGTTCCTTATTTGCGCTCGGGGGATTCGGATATCCGGATATTGACCGGCGATTCGAAACTCAATGCGATTCGAACAGAAGACTTCTATCTAACGCCTACACATACATTTTTGATCCTTCCTCAGAATCCTGATATTGTTTTGGTTCACTACCTAAACGTTCCATATCCGGACGATAATAAAATGGCTGTCATTGCGCCGAGCATCACACTGTGGAGCGATAAGAAAGAGTGGACCAAAGATGAGCTTGTTAGTCAACTGAAACCTATGTGTAAGTACATCTTTAATTTCTATTTGCTTGTTATTACTTCCGACGGGATGGAAGTATGATACATTTTGGAACGTATTTCCGTCAATACAATTCTGAAACCCTTCTGTTTTCGAAGCATATTTACGAGGAATGACGGTAATTCGTTCCAAAACGCACTAGTTGCAAAATTTTTGTTTTTGAAGAATCTAGAAACACGGTGACGATATAAATTATATAAACCTTAAAATAATATTTGTGTATGTTTCGACTGGAATCATAAAATTTTGTATTATTTGAGACTTCCGCCATAATATTTCAGAATATTAAGATTTATGTCATCTAATCCGATATCTTCAAAAATCTCATTCTTTTGAATCAGTTGATAAAATTTTTAAAAATTTTTTTTGCTGGCCTCTTAAGATTAAATCATTTGAGGTGATTTTTTAGAAAAAATATTTTTAAAAACAAATTTTCTTTTTTATAAAAAAACGACTTTTGGCGATATTTTCAAATTGGTGCAGCACAGGTAAATGTTAATGTTTTCCGAAATATTTTGGTCTAAGCCTTAAAATATAATGAATTTTATACCTATTTCTAATGGATAAATGGAACCGATTTTTTGTATGGCGAGTGATGCACCTTAATGTTCATATTCGTGCTACAGAAAAAGATAAGGGTAATTTCTTCATAAAATATTAGCGGTAACTTTTCTGTTCAATGGCAATACAGGTTTTGAGGGTCTTGCTTAAAAAATGTTTCACTCGTCACTCCTCGGGGGGTATATTTGTTAAGTTGAAGGGGATGCCTGCTTGGAGAAAAGGCCCTATGGGCTCGTTGGGGGTCCGTATGAGGGACCGTCCTCTTACCTAGAAATATAACCATAGGGTTATGTCAGGTTTAAGTGGCAGCTTTCATCGAGTAAAGGAGGTAGGTACACTCTCTTTGTTCCGTCCAACCACTCTCTTTTTTCCGTCCAACCACTCTCCTTGTTGAGCCAACCAGCTGAAGAAGTTATAGTGAAATAGGCATCTCTTGCTCCCGCTAGTTCAGAGCAGTGCCGATGGTGATCCATACTTTAAATTCCTACCTTATAACTGCAGCTGTGGCAGAAGTCATTGGCCGTAAGGTCTGGTAGCGTAGATCCGACTGTTGTGGGTAGACAGTAGCCGATTATAATTCCGGCCACTTACCGAAGTACATGGACGACGTTCTAGGTCGCACCTTTTCTTGTCGGAGCTAAATAAGATTTGTCCGGCTGTCGTACAAATTTTTTTGTTTAACCATATTTTATTTGCTTACTCGAAGGATTTGCGAGAAGAGTTGTTGTCAGAGTCAAAGAAACTCGCTTCATCACAAGGCAGTGTGCTATGCAATTACAACGAGGTTTCGCAGAAATCCGGCGATGCCAGCTTGTCTATAAGAGTAGATAATAACCGAAAGGAGTTTCAGAGCCCATAACACATTGTAGATCGTCTTTTTATAATGGCGAGATCTACATATTTAGAAAACACTGCTGTGGTGTGGTAAAACAAAAATTTATTTAGACCTCTTACGGTATATCCCACTTCCTACTTTAAGATTTAGATAGTTTTGAGTTTTGCGGGTCCACATACATTGCAGGAAGCATGGCTATACTCTCCATGTTGCGGCTGGCTGCAAAAACCGGGTATAGCTGCAGCCATACCTCTGGCCTCTGGAAAGCGTAAACGATCAGTCTGGCCTCGTCTACAATCAGTGTACTGCCTATCGCTATCTCGCATGAGAAGGCGGTCTTCATGGGCAACTGGACATTTACCCGCCGCCTTTTTAGCAAAAGCTTTGGAGTCTTCATCATTAGAGTTAGCCACTCCAACAGACCTTTAACAGTAGAGCACTTGAAACAGCCGCAGGTGTAACAAATTTGCCCCATGATTTAGCAATAGAGAGCGGTCGTAAAGCCGGTGTCGAGGGTTACTTTCCTTAAAGTCTTCAGCTTTAGAATGAGAAGGTACATGATTGGGGCTATTGTCAGATTTTAGCTTTTGCTTAGAGGTTCAGAGATGAAACAAAGCCGAAAGTTGTCGATTGCGATTAAGATGGTCTCGCTGTTGCAGCTCCGACCAAAGTCAATGTGGACTGTCAATGTGTGCTGTCAGTCGCGCATGTTAAAATTCAGGTCCAGTTGTGAATTTTAGTCTAGAAGCATTCAAGTTCTGGCTAAGAATTGCGCAAGCCGGTTATTGTAAGATGGGGAAAAAACACTTTAAAACAATTTATCATTTGCCGTGGTAAGCCAATCGTAAATAATCTAGTTTACTTTGTTTAAGCACCTAATGCTTCTATATGACTGCTATAATACAACCTAGCCTGCAGACGTCGAATTACTTACGTATTTATAAAGGCTCAATTATACATACTTAACATTGCACTGAACAGTTGCCCAACAACAACAAGGCACATTTCGACGCTCTTATTTCTTCGCCTCTCGCTGTCGCTTTCACTGTTCAATCGAATGTCACTCTTTTTGCACCTCCTGCCATCATATTTGCGCGACCATCTCATCCCTCAATGGATAATTGATTCCAGGAATTGTTACATCCTTGAAGAGTGCTAGTGAATAGATTAGCAGGATGTGTGCTGACAATGATACGAGGACATCTGCTTTATTTTTGATCCTCTTTTGGGAAAATGAGACCAAGTCATCGCTGAAACATCGCTGACTGCTGATGGCCCCACTCCAGCCCTGCTCTCCATAATATGGGACGTCGTGTTAATTCTGAAGACTTACATGTGTGATGGTTGGACCCCTGCAAGCCATTTCCTTGACGCAAGTGCGAATGGTTTTCCCCTGTAAAAGTTGGTGTGCTAGTTTTACCCGACTGCCGTGGTACACTTTAGTCCTACCGCCAACCTGGTCGGTTTTATAAAGATTTATTTCCTTTATCCACACGTAATGGTAGGTTGTAGTCGCCTTTCATCTCTAGTACTCCAATATTTTATGCTCTTGAATAACATATAAATAAAACAAGTAAGAAAGTCTAAGTTCGGGCGGAGCCGAACATTAAATACCCGGCGCAAGTATTAAATATGTTTTTTCACCTTTCCGAAACCTTCCGCTAGATGGTAAGCCGGGGTGTATCAATTTTGAGTAAATTAGCGTCCTTCAATTTCGAAATATTGAAGTTTCAAGCATTTCTGAAATTTACCGTTATATGAGAAGCGGCCGTTATTTTAGTCCGATTTCAATAATTTTCAACGTTTTGCTTATATGTGGCAAGCACAATAACCACACCGAGTTTGGTA